ATCACTGACATTAAATGTGAGAAAAGAAGCAATTTCTCTTGTCCAATTAAATTATGTTTCTTGACACTGTGGTAGCTCCAGAAGTTCTTGGTCCAGAAAAGTATGACAGATCCTGTGACATGTGGTCTCTGGGTGTCATTATGTATATTCTGTAAGTCAGTCTGTGTGTTTTGTTTTACTATTGCCATCTTGTTGTAACATGCCTTTACACTGTCATCAAGCATTTCTTTTCTCTCTTTCTTACACAAAGACTTTGTGGATATCCTCCTTTCTTCTCTCATCACGGTCTGGCAATATCTCCAGGAATGAAAAGACGCATCTGTAAAGGACAATATGAGTTTCCTAACCCAGAGTGGTCTGATGTGTCTGAAGAAGGTAAGAAGGAGGCTGACAGTGCCTAAAACGGAAAGGGGTAGTTTATCGGTCATGTAAATTTGCCCTCCCCTTTCTGTCGGTTTTTCTTTGCTTTTATTTTTGGTCCCTTGTCACAATAGGTCTAGACCTTTTCCTAAGTGATGCATCTTTCTGAGTTAGTAACAGGTAAGATTTGCCATCAACACAGTGGACAGTATTACCAGACCTGTTTTCTTCTCTGTAGGTTCAGTAATAGTATTATTCTGTCTTTGATGCAAAGCACAGAAGTAAAGCAGTATAGTACTGAATGACAGTTTTGTTTTTAATAAAGGATTTTCCATTTTCCTGAGTATGTGATTCAGCATATTGTATTGCAGATTTTAAAAATGTATTTGACATTTATGAAAAAGTATTTGCCCCTGTTACGTTCCTGCTTACAGAAACCTAACTCCAACTGTCAATTACGGAAGATCTCACGAGTAGAATGGATGGCAGTGAAGAAAAGTTATTTACAAGAATTGAATAAATCGAATGAATAACAAAATGAAGGTTTCAAAAAAGTGTGGGGGAAGGGTCAGCTGTGGGGTCATGCCAAATCAGAGAAATAAATATAATAAAACAGGGCCTAACTCAAATCTTTCTTTAAGAAAAGGAAATGAAAACAAAAGGCCTGGCTGTCTTATCTAAGAGTGATAGCAAACAAAACTTACAGAGTGGCATCAACCCATAACCTCGTGCATGTAACATAAAGAAAACTACATGTGTAGGGTACCCAATCTTACTTCAGCTGAAATCCTTCCCACCACAAATCTTCAAAACTGACACCAGCATTCAGTGTGACAGCAAGCAAGAGGCCGAGCGTGAACAAAGGAGCATGAGGGCTTATGAAGGAATATCCTCCACTCCGATTGGACAACCAGCCAGAGCACAAGCCAGTCACCCACTACTCAGGAGCTCACAGGTGGCAGCAGCAGGAAACCCACAGGTGGCAGCCAATCTTCCAATAATCACCTGCAGGAGAAAGGTGGAGAGGGAGACACACACGCACACACACACACACACAAATCCTCCACTCTGCACCTAACAGCCCCCTTTTTGAATTCATATTTTTTTTAATATTTCTTGATCATCAAACAAATTTAAATATGAGACAAAGATAACCAAAGTAAACACAAAAAGCAGTTTTTAAATGATGATTTAATGTTTTAAGGGAAAAAAGCTATCCAAACCTACCTGGCCCTGTGTGAAAAAGTAATTGCCCCCCTTGTTGAATCATGAATTAACTGTGGCTAGTTACATTTTTTGGAAAGCTGAGTTCAATTTCACTGAGCAACCCTGGCCCCATTACCTCCAGACCTGTTCAACCAATAAATCATTTATATAGAACCTGTCTGACAAAATGAAGCCGACCAAAAGATCTGAAAAAGCTGCAACAAAATGCTGCAATCCAAAGAAATTCAAGAACATATGAGAAATAAAGTTATTGACATGTATCAGCCTGGAAAGAGTTTCAAAGCCATTTCTAAAGCTGTAGGACTCCAGTGAACCACGGTGAGAGCCATTATCCACAAATGGAGAAAACATGGAACAGTGGTGAATCTTCCCAGGAGTGGCCGGCCAATTAAAATGACCCCAGGAGCAAAGGGACGACATCCAAGAGGTCACAGAGGAACGCAGGATAACGTCTAAAGAACTGCAGGCCACCCTTGTCTCAGTTAAAGTCAGTGTTCATGACTCAACAATAAGGAAGAGACTGGGCAAATTGGCATCCATGGCAGAGTTGCAAGGCGAAAATCACTGCTCAAAAAAAACATAAAGGCTCGTCTTACTTTTGCAAACAAACATCTGAATGATCCCCAGGACTTTTGGGAGAATGTTCTATGGACTGACGAGACGAAAGTTGAACAACGATCCAAAACACACCAGCAAGTTGACCTCTGCATGGCTTAAAAAATTTTAAAAAACTAACTTAGGGTTTTGGAGTGTCCTTTAGTCAAAGTCCGGACTTGAATCCGATTGAAATGCTGTAGCATGACCTTAAAAAGGCCATTCATGCACGAAAACCCTCCAGTGTTGCTGAATTAAAGCAATTCTAGAAAGAAGAGTGGGCCAAAATATCTCCACAGAGATGTGAAAGACTCATTGCCAGTTATAGAAAACCCTTGATTTCAGTTGCTGCTGATGGTGGTCCAACCAGTCTAGGTTTAGGGGGCAATTACTTTTTCACACAGGACCAGGTTGCTTTGAATAGTTTTTTTCCCCTTAATATATAGAATCATCATTAAAAAGTGTATTTTTATTGTGTTTACTTGGGTTAGCTTGGTCTAATATTTACATTTGTTTGATGATCTTGAGCATTAAAGTGAGGAAAGTATGCAACAAAAAAAAAAGAATTTGAGAAGGAGGCAAATACTTTTTCATGGCTCTGTATTTAAATGTTTGCTTTAAAAGTGTTGATTGATTATGTCTAGAAACTAAAACTGACCAGTGTAATTGAAGCTACTCAACACATATGGCTCACGATGTTGGTTACATGTGCGAACATTTAATGATAATGACTTCCTGTTGCAGCCAAACAGCTGATCTGTCACTTACTGAAAACTGAACCCACCCAGAGAATGAGCATCAGTGAGTTCATAAACCATCCGTGGATCAATGTAAGAGTCCCGCTGTAGACCTGAGTCTTCTGAAGCAACTGGTAGTTAAGAAAGATGTGAGATTCGGGAAGCATTTAATCATATTTTCTGTCCGCCACAGCAGTCAGTGGAGATCCCACAAACGCCTCTTCACACCAGCCGTGTGCTGCACGAGGAGCAAGATGTCTGGGAGAAGGTGAAGGTACGTGTCGGGCTGCCCATTTGTGTCACTTTTTTTACTGCTGGTTCAGTAGCACGGAGAGGCTTTGATGTTGGAGGACCAGTTTTGTTACTCATTTTTTATTGCTTCCCATGTAGGAATTTAGACGTTTCCAAACAATGAAAAATAATACAATATAGTTTCACCTCAGTTGTTTCCAATATAAGTGTTTTTTTTCTTTTTTATTGCTAGGAGGAAATGACAAATGCCCTGCAAACGATGAGAGTGGACTATGATCAAATAAAAATCAAAACTATCGAAGACTCAACTAATCCTCTACTGTTGAAGAGAAGAAAGAAAACTAAAAACACAGCCGTGCAGAATCCTGGCTAGTCCATAAAAACTTAACACATAATTCAAACTTTACAAAATAAAGTTATATTTAGACACACACAACCACGTGCATACAATTTTGCAGACAAAAGCTTTTGAGAACTTTGGGGAAGGCGTACTTTGTGGCATTGTGGTGGTTTGAACATGTTTGTAGCAATTTTTATCTCTTTTTGTAAACAATGGATTGAAAAAAATTTTAAACATGAAATTCACCAAGGCATTGTGATAAATGTGTCGCAAAGAATTTTGACCTCAATTGTGTTTAATTTTTTTTTTCTGAAGCTTGTTTTCTATCAATACAGAGAACACACATCTACTCTATGTTCTGTACATTAGGACGGTTTCCATTGTGTACACACTCTGTGAATTATTTCACAGAGCTTTGTTGTCTAGTCACACATTGTTTTGGATTATTTTTTTTGGATGCTTGAGGATGCTGCTGAGAAAGTTTTCTGGCATCGTTCGTAATTGTCAGTGGAATGACCCTGACCAAAACCGCAGCTTGTGTTTTATGTTTTGACTGAACACAAGAGCTTCTCTGTGCCACAAAGCTGGAGTTTTCTCGCTACACTGTGGTAGTTAAAATGCATTAACCATCTGTAGCAACTGTGCCTGTGAGACGAGTGATAATTGTGTTTGATTGACAAAACTATGCTGCTAATTGAACTTGTCACGCTTCTGTTGGATTTGTTTTCGTCAGAGCAGAAATTGAAACTGTAGTACACAAACTGAAAGACATGGAAAGAGAGTGGATGGCAAGAAACCATTAGCTCCAAGCAATAGTGTTTAAAAGCACAGTGATTGCCCTTCACTATTATCCTGTCTGTCGTTTACTCTGAATTAAATCTCTTGATTTTCTCTGTGGTTTTTGCATGTTGTTTGATCAGTTCTGTAAATCACTGCTTTGTTGTTTCCATTAAATGAAGAACAGTTTTGGCGGCATGTGATAAAGGCAAAGGTTATTTACATTGAACTAGTTCTATTACGGAAAGGAAAACCACATGAATGGCTGAATGGAGCGGGTATTAAAGTCACTACAGCTGTTTTGTTTTTTGAATTTGGGTTTCCTTTCAGATTAAAAACTGCAGTTTGCCTGCAGAGTTAGAACTCTTTCCTTTCATCACAAAGGTCTCGAGTTTATCTTGTATTGCCCGTAGCATTTTCCTTTTTCCTGAATACTACGAGGTGTCAGAAAAGTTCCAGGACTGGTGTCACAAAAGATATACTTCAAACACAAACTACCAGTTTTCCCCTTCAGATGATCAACCAGCACGTCTACAAAGAGATCCTGCAGCGTTTGCTTCATTCAGTGCATGAGAAGAGGCGAGAGTTGTGGCAGGACAAGTCGTGGCTGCTTCACCACGTCTGCTCACAATGCCCTGAGCATCCGAAAATTCCTGGCTGAGAAGAACATCACCATGCTGGAGCAACCTCCCTACTCACCCCACCTGGCTCTGTGGAATTTCTTCCTCTTCCCCAAGCTCAAGGGGGTCATCAAGAAGACCCGTTTTGAAGACGTGGATGACATCAAGATGGCTGTGACGATGGAGCTGTGGAGGATCCCGGAAGAATCCTTCTAGGAGTGCATGGCAGCGTGGCAGAGAAGGCTGGGAAAGTGTGTTAGACTCCAGGGGGATTATGTCTAAGGGGAAAACTTGTAGTTTGTAGTTTGGATTTGAAATATATCTTTTGTGACACCAGTCCTGAAACTTTCCTGATACACCTTGTAGACTGAGAAAGAAAATTTGCCACAGAACATACCTTCTATAATTTATTCTTAACTAAATTACAAAATTAATGGGAAATAACTTGAAAGCTTTCGATTGGGATGGTGGGAAGCTTAAGCTTCAACATGAGGCTTGAGAACTTTGTAGCAAACTGTGACTTTTTTAATACAAGAAATTGCTCATTTCATTTGAAGTCTACACAAAAATGTTATTCATTTCATATATGCATCATAACATTTCATGCTAGTGTTTAAACTAAAGAGATTCTAACTGAATTATTTAGACATATTCTGTTATAAACTGTGTGGCGGATGGACATTTTGACCCATAATACATGAATGCCACCCAGATTCCATGGCAGTCCAGCCATAGTGGTATGCTTAAAATGTATTTTAAGTCTACACACCTGTTAAGTACATGTATAACTGAGATAGAAAACATACATGTACATATTTTTCTTGAAGAATGCACAAATCTGTTTTAAATTGGAATATTTTTTTCTCCCACCTTGTTGTAAGTAATGTAATCAATTCATTACAGGAAATAGTTTAGCTAATGGTGCCTCCCTGTAGCTTGCAGTATAGCTAGCAACAGCAGGGAGTGGCTCCAGGCTGAACACGCATTGTTTTCTGTCTTATAATTGGGATTATAGGCTTTTCAGGCTGTAGTTACATCAGTGAATAAATGGCGCTCAAGCAGTGTTTTGGAATTTACATGATGTTGTAATTACAAGATAATATCTTCAGCTATTGTATCCTGTTTTAATTAAAACCTTTGTGGAGCTCAGTATTAAGAGAAACAGACAAAAAAAAAAACAGCTGGGTGACTGGCACACAATAAAAGTAATCTCTATTTTACTATTGTACAGGCTGTAATTAGTGAGGTTTAGACATCGTGCTGTCATGACTGAATAACAAATCCAACAACAGAGTTTTCAAATGGACATCGTGTCATGGAAGATTTTATGTCCCCCACCAATTAGTACTGGTACTAGTGTTAGTATATTTAATTTTGACAGCACATAGCTGAATGATAGACTTCTTCAACATGGGACAAGCCATTATCACTTGGAAAAAAATGATGTAAGTTTTATTTCTATTAAATATTGCACTGCAACTCGAAATCGAAGGTTGTTTTTTGTTTTTGTGCAAAGAGGTTCCATCTGTGTAACCTCAGATTCACTCTCCTTTCTTGGCGTTTTTTTGGTAATCAGGTTTATTACACATTGATAGGCTTTCATTACAAGTCAGTGTGTTGTCTTTCATTTCCTCAAAGGAACCTGGAAACCAGATGGTGTGTAAGAAAGATAATCCCTTAAAACTCTGCATCCAATTTTGTTTTTTCTGCTCCAGTGGAGGACATGAATGTACGGCCTTTTCTAAAGACTAGCCGCTGTATGATAAAGATGCTCTGCTGTCGGCAGCCGCCAGCACAAACCTGTGTTAACTTGTTAACTCTCTGTAATTGAAGGTGGAACGCCACTTGCAGCAAGCTGAGAAAGCAAGGAAAAATTCTTACGGAGGACGATTGTGGACAAATAACAGGGTTTGGCGTGCTTTGTTGAAACACACACTTAGTATATCCTGAAAAAAAAGTGCATGCTGTTGCTTTTGGAGTACGATTTTATACTACAACTAAGCTGCATTGTTTCGTCTCAGGAATAACAGCACCATTTATAACGTCTAGTCTGAGCTGATAAATTTTATTATGCCATAAGCCCCCACCTTTTCCATTGGTCCCCCCTCTCCCCATGACACTAAATAGCAAGCCAGACTTTGAGTAGCTGTACTAATGATAAGGCATGTCACAAAAAGGGAAAACAAGGTTGTAAAAAAGCAGATGTCCATACCGGTTCACAGATGGGATTGATACTGACATTGCTGGAGGTGATACGCTGCAATTTGTGTTGTGGTTTTACTTGCCAGTGGAAAAAAAAAAAAAAGAAATGTATGTGCGTTAATGAGACCTGGTGGCCGGGGCTACAGCTGCAGAGAGAAGAGGGATATTTACTCTATACCAACAACATTTTCCTCTCAGTCGCTGAAAGACACAGGCAACGTGAACGTGAGGGAGCAGGCATCGTCTCAGATCCACCAACTGGTAGGTATACTGTACCTACTGTACATTTCACAAGTGGAGCGGAGAGAAGGAGAGCTGTCTTACTCCACATGGGGTATCTGTGGTTATGTGATTAGGTAATATGCTAAATTTGACTTCACAGCAGCTTTAAATGACACCATTTCCACCCATTTTTTTTCCCCCCCCTCTGGGTTTTCCAGCAGTGATAATGCAGACAGCAGTGCTACTCCTCTTAATGGGAATAGTGGAGCTGAGCATCGGACAGCGTTACAGTCAATTCCAGTGGCTGTCCCATCTGCGAGGGCGACGCCGGCATGCTGGCTGGCAGGCTGACAGCGTGGATTGCCCCCTGGAGTGCGACTGCCCCCCTGCCTACCCTACAGCTATGTACTGCCACAGCCGCAACCTTCAGCACGTTCCTTACGTCCCCTCACACATAAAGTACGTCTACTTGCAGCGGAACCAGCTCACGGGCATCCAGGACGGGGTGTTCGACAACGCCACCAACTTGGTCTGGGTGGTTTTGTTTCACAATCAGCTCAACTCAGACAAGATCGGCAAGAACGTCTTCAGCAAGCTCAAGAACCTGGATCGACTCTTCTTGGACCACAACGAGCTCACCCGCGTGCCTCCTAACTTGCCCAAAGGCATCACAGACCTGCGACTTGGTCACAACAAGATCTCGAAAATCCTCTCCAGCTCATTCGAGGGGATGACCAACCTCACTAGCCTTCATCTCCAGGCGAATGACCTAGAGGACGTTGGGGGTGTGTTCAAGGGACTCAAGTCGCTGACCATGCTGGATATGAGAAAAAACAAGCTGCAAAAAGTTCCCGACAACCTGCCTGAGAGGGTGCATCAGCTCTACCTGGAGTTTAACAGCATAGCGAGTGTGCCGTCAGGCTTTCTCTCGGTGCATCCCAAACTGCAGTTTTTCCGCTTGGCTCATAATAAGCTGACTGATAAAGGCCTTCCGTCCAGTGTCTTCAACATCAGCACACTGGTTGAGCTTGACCTGTCCTTCAACAAACTGGAGAGGATCCCTGTGGTTAGCAGGAACCTGGAGAACCTTTACTTGCAAGCCAATAAGATCAAAGGTATGAACGCTTATCTAGTATGTTAACTCATCGTACATTGTTTTCGTAGTTCACTAATAAAAGATGAAAATGTGACTGTGAACACTTTTTTTGCTTTATTTTTTGCAGACAAAAATTGTAATAATGATTCTTTTAAACTGCTAAAGCGTTAAATGTTTACGGTCATTCATTTGATAGTTTACTTTTAAATGCAGTTATTTCCAATGTGATGATCTCCAAAATAGAACCAAAGTCCTGAATCAGAATTAAAGGTAGCTTTATTGATTGGGTTGTTTTACTCAGTGGGACACACACACACACACACACACACACACACACACACACAGCCACTTTTTCAAATCTAGCGGAAACACGGGGCTCAGTTTTCTGTTTCACGCTCCTTTCATGTTGTCGCACTTACCTTAGCTCAACATGCTCATCCTCTGATTTCATCCACTCCAGTTGTTTTCTGTGATTTACAACTACAGTGAAGTTGAGACATGTACCTGCTCATCTTTATTGTTTGCAGCTGCCTTGCTTTCACAGAACCATTTAACTGCATCTGGAAATTCAGGCATCCGGCTTGCAATCACATTGGTGATGTCAACCTCCGTAAACTTTAATATAGTTTCTGGAGTTACGTATTGACCGTGCCCAACGGTGACGTAAATGTCGTGCCTCACTTTTAGAGTGGGAGCTGTGCATGCAGTCAAGAGAATTTTTCAACCACTAGATGACAGCAGAAGTTTTTAAACTATATATCCGTTTTTTTGAAATTGTGCCCTTCCTCTGCAGCAGGAGTTTTTTTTTAGAAACACTGCCTCAAATAGCACATACTTTATAAAATGCTACTTCCAGTAAAAAGAACACAGTAAAAAATGTACAATTTAGAGCCACTGAAAAGTCCAGAAAACTTGTCATGACTGACTTTACTCAAACAAAATGTTTTTTTTTTCAGACATGTAACTAAATGGCTTCTAGTTTAGCAGTAATATAACAGTGTGAGATCCACATCTGGCATTTTTAGCACTGACGTACTTTCCAGAAGGACTGTATGTGTGCATTTTTGTGACCGTTGAAAGCACTTGTGACGTAAGTACTTGCTTCGTATGTCTCACAAGATGATAGAGAAAATGTGACCTTGTTTTTATATTCCTCTCCTCTTTCAGAGTTCTCCCTGAGCAGCTTCTGCAGCACTGTTGACATGACAAACTTCTCCAAGCTGAAAATGCTGCGGCTGGATGCCAATCAGATCAGTGCCAAAGACATTCCTGCTGAAGCTGCCTACTGTTTGCGGCGTGTTGCCTTTATAGATGTGTAGCTTCCTGATGTCGCTCACCAACATTTAATACTTTCTTTACTAGCAAACTTTTTTTTTTTTTTATCATACATCATTACATTTTTTCTTATGTTGTTCACTGTCCTTTCTATTGAAACATAGTTGAGACAGTGTTTTGTTGAACTTTTATTATTATTATTAGTAATTAAACAGTTACTGTATTAATCAACGGGAAATAATGTGAACCAGATGACAGAGAGCGACGAGATATGGCTCTTACACACACACACACACACACACACACACACACACACACACACACACACATTTATATATAAGTTGTAGCTAATGAACTTTAGTTCTGATTGTAGCATTATCTGTATAAAACTGCCAATAATCTGTGTGAGAATCAGTTTGCATCTTTGCCTCCACCGTGTGGCACAAGGTGATAAAACAACAAGCTGAACCACAATAATACTCATTAAAACTCTTTTAGAAAAGTCATCTTTTAGCATATAATCAGTAATGGACACTGAATAATGTATTTCTAGTTTGATTGTACTTGTTTTTCAGTCCAGTGAATATTTTTTTTTAGTAACATTTGAAACACCACAGGGAAGTGTTTTTGTAACTGATGAAACATCTGTTTCTCTTCAGAGGAGATTCCTAAATTTTCAAAGTTATGATTGAATAGCTGTTTTCTGATTGTTTAATTCACAGTCTTCATAGTCACTTGTAAGAATTTCTCTCACTGGGGTGTAATTTCTGAGCCAGCCTGTATGTCACTGTATCTCACAGAGAAGTGGTTGTTTACCACATTCAGACAATAAACTATTGTAAGGATTGACACTACTTAGTGTGTATCCATTTTTCTGGAGGGCTATGAATTGTACAATTGTTTCAAGTGATTATTTTTTTTCTTGGAATCTTGACCTATTAATACATCTCGGAACACAAACAGTTTCCAGTCTGTTATTTGTCGTCATAACTGTTGACACTGATACATTTTTAGGAACAACAGTAACATGCTCTGTTCTCCCTAAATTAGAAGTTAAACATACACACACACACACACACACAGACAGACACACAGATAATTCTAGCTACTCTTTGGCAGCTCCTACATATTTATTGTTGAAGACAGCTTTCCTTTTCATCTTGCACAGCTGCCTTCAATCCTCTGCAGAAAGGCAATAATTGAATTGAGAATACATTCCTTATTTGTGATAAAGCAACGTCTTTGGATGAACGATGGAATAATGCCAGTGCAACAGTGGTTTTCACAGTGATAAGCAGTAGCCTGTGAAATTAAGTTTGTTATAGATGATGTTGTACTGCAAGTTGCACACACACTTCCACAGAGGCTGTGAGGTAGAGCTGTGTGGTTTTTTTTCTCCCCAATCTCTGCTTCCTACACAGATTCTTCAAAAACAGTATAGACGCCGGCACACATGCACACAATCAAATATGGGATTCTTTTCACAGGATTCACTCATGCTTCTCTTTGACACGCATAAAAACTTTTTACTTTCTTGGGAATTGTCCAGTTCTTGCACAGTCATTATGCAATTTATGATTAAACATTTGACTGGACCGTCACTAAGTAAACACGACTGAAAGTCATGACAACATTGGAATTGCCCTTTTTCACAATGCTCTCTTGTTATTTTCCATGACCATGCAGTGATAATTCAATGTCATGCGTGTAGGTAAACTGGAGCAACATTTTATTCCCAGCTAACCGTGTTCTGCTCTGTGCTGGGAATACATTTCTTTTGTAGTTGCACCAGTGACCAGAATGCATCTCACTGAATCTTTTCTCCATCTCTCTGCCAGAAACAACATTTCTGGTTTTCGACTGATGAAAAAGTATTTCCACAGTTCCTACAGACTGTGTGCCAGTAAAAACAGCTCAGAATGACCATAATATTATGTACATTTTGTAGGTAATGTTTTACAGTGAAACTGAATATACTGTGAAAGTCTCTCATCATAATCTTTAGAAACTGGCAAGAAAACACTGTATTGATCAGCAGTGTAGGTTGAGAATGAACCTAAATGGTTTACAGAACTCTTTGGAAGACACATGTAAAAGTATTTTTTAACTCATTAAACAGGATGTAGGCTACAAAGTGATGTAAAACCTTTATTGACCTCATTACCTGCTTTTAAATGTGATTCTATTGTGTTCATGCACTGGTAGCTAGACAGCTGGAGAGAATTATGGAATTATAAATTTGGGTATGGTATTGTTGGTTAACTTTTATTATCAATTTGAATAGATAACAGACAATCGATAGACTGTTGATTGAATAGAGTGAAGATAATAAATAACTTGTCAAAATGTTTGGCAAACAACATTACAAACAGTCGGCTGAGCGGTAACAAATGGAGACACATCATTCAACATATATATAAGTAATGTAAAAATAAACCTTTTTTTAGTGAACTTGAAAAGATATCTGCAATAGATAACGCATAATATACATAACATATTTAAAATAAGGTCCATCTTTGTTCTCACTTAAAGCAAAGCTTCGTAGAAATAAGTGAGCATGATACATTACACATATAATACTGACATGAGAACGTGTTCATGGTGGATGAAATGTACAGCTTCACAGGTGCTCTCTCTGCTGCTGCAGTGACCAAGTCCTCACCGCCTGAGGAAAGAGAACAACACGGAAAAAAACAAAGAATTCAAATATGTATTGCATGCGCACTGCAGTCACTGTTTACTGACATCTGTTTTAAATGATTAATCTGTGCCAGCTCCAGATGTTTGCCTGTCCATAGTCCTTTGATATAGGTGAGGATACTCACTTTACTGTTGCTCCATCTCTGTTTCCTGCAGATCTCTGCTTGAACCCAGATGACAGAAGTATGTATTAGCAATACTTCAACGAACACGGAGAAACATATCGCTTTTAGTTTAAATATTCCATTTGTTACCTCGAGTTTGTGTGTATTCTCGATCCATTACGGCTGTGAGTTTTCTGTTTTGACAGAAGAAAACATTTAGTGAAATTCAAACACGTGTTAAACATCTAAGGTAAAAGAGACACAGAAGCAGCATTTTCCAATTTTTGTAAGCAACTAAATCACTTGAAAAAAGCTGTAATTCATCAGCGTAGACACACACAAAAGGATTTACGATGAAATATAGCGCTGCGAAAGGCTTCTGTGGAGGAATCAATATTTTTCCTCTACGCTGTGAAAACTTTCATTATTATCAGTGTTGCATCCTGCCAGAGTAAACTCTCTACAGCCGTTATGTGGGTGATTGTTTTAGTCAAAAGATGATTTGTGAGCACACAACCGTTTTAAAACCTCGGTGAATGCAATATTCACATCATCTCGTCCTGCCCCTGTAGACAAACCAAAGCGAGGAGTGCTTGGTGGTGGCCCAAGGTGGTTCACAAATCATCTTAGAGAAAATTCCAGTCTTTTCAAGTCAAGCATATTTTCCGTGGGTTTTGACCAACTGCCGGGAAACCGTGCGTCACTAAAGGTGATAGGAGATCTTTTTTTGAAAGACTGGTAATTCGGTCACTAAAAAGAGCAGCACATTTGCCTCCTGTCATTGTCATCACACTGTTATAGACTTGAGCACTGCTGTATTTCAGAAAAAAAATAAAATTGGCAAGGGCGTTCACATTTATAGCAAAGTTAAGTCCTTATAGGGCTCAACTTGTTAAAATGTATGACACAATTTTATAAAAGATTTCACCATCTGCTTTCCCATGGGGCCCTGATTTTATATAAACTAACTACCTTGTTTGACTTTTCCAGGAATCCTTCTTGCACAATTACCTTGAAAATGTAACAAACCAATGCAATACACTGCTTGTTCTGCTGCCGTAAATGAGCATGTATGTACGAATGCCTTCAAATCTAGTTTATTCTGGCATCGCAGTTAATTTTATTAGCAAATCCAGGATTCACAGTGAAAACAGTGGCTGACTGAATTTTGTTGTCTCTCTTTCCGTCTCTGTTGTCTCTTTGTTTCGTCATACAGCAATGTGAGACCATATATCTTCCTGTAGTTCTCAATGAGCACACAGTGACGTTGATCACATTTTTAGAGAATTCAGACATTCAGGGGCAGCTGGTGTGGTGGCATCATATATCCACGTATGGTAGAAAAAAGCAGGCAGCGCAGGAAAACGACTGGTCATCGATAAAATATGCAGGAGCAAGCATGGCTTGATCATTACAATGTCATTCTACGAGTCAAAAACTGTCTAACTCATCCAGAATGATTACCAATGATATTCAATGCCAACACACTGACTGCCAACTGTGCAGCTTCCCCTCGACTCTCCTGGCTGCATTACGTCACTGCATGCACGCAATCCATGAACAACTAATGCTTCCTGGAAGATAAATCAGTGTGTTCTCTCAAACTGTGTGGTCCCTGTGCATCAGTCAGACTGCACTCTGAACAAGACAACCAAATCATGACAGGGAAAGAAGGTATCTATCTGCTTTTCTCATTTAAATGAAACAGCTTGAGGGTTTGACGTGATTAATGGTGTCCAAAAACAATAAGAATCCAACGAAATCTCTCCAAAGCCTAATTTTCAGTTATTTACAAAAGTGAGTGAAAGAAAAACAAGCCCTAACAAAATGACTGCACTGAAAGAGGTCCCATATGAACTCCACAGGGCTACTCAAACGAAAGCATTCGTTTGCCAATTTTCCCAGGACTTGTGTGGAGTGATAATGTGACTGTGTACTGATGTAAGTCATGGTGTCGTGTGAAAACGAAACATCTATCCTCTGTCCCTCCTTGTGATTCCTTCATTCATTATACCATGCCTTTCAGTTGTCTATTCACATTGTGGTGTTCTGACACCAGATTTAGCACCGTCACCTCATGACTTTCTGTGTCTCATGTGCGTGTTTTTTTGCTTTCAGGCAAACAAAGGCCCTGCTGCAACAGCCCAGTTCTCCTAAATATGTATCTCTATTTCTCCATATGTTTCAACTAAATGTAGTTTAACTAAAAAAAAAAAACACAGTCCCACATGCCTTTCACTACTATAATCCAAGAGTTTTGGACTCACTGAGTTCAGTGTGACTATGTTTGACCTACCCACAAAAAACACACATTAAAAATATAAAGACATAATAAAACAGCATTACAGCCAGACTGTAATTTTAGAATCTTCGATTTCTCCTTTTTTTCCCCTTCCACTTTTCATCACATGTTGTGCTGTGAGCAGACCTATCAGCACTGCTCTCTAGAGAATGGATGTTTTTACCAGGAACAAGCTCCAGCAGCTGTTACTGTTAATCTCTTTCATACACCTTTTCTGTTTTGTGCTTTTAAGAGGGTATTAAGGGCCGCTGCGGCAGTATCTGTTTTGAAAAAGCTATAAAAGATGTTTAAATCCCAAAGCATGTTCAAGTCATGCTTTGTGCTTCATTAAAAAAGGCAAGATGTGGGTTGTGAGCCTCAGTCAGTTGAAAACCGCTGCTCTGAATCATACAATGTATCATCTCAAATATGGCTGATGGCGCCAAACGGCCTCAAACCAAAAAAAAGTTAATTTTCATTTGCAGATGTTTGTGCATGTGCTGCCCCAAAATAACACTTCTGCATATGCCAGTGAGGCCAAGCTCCACCTTGTTTTGTTATGCTCTGTATTTGCCAGTGAGGGAGGGCTAGTCCTTCTGCAAGAGCACGCAGCCAGACTGCCAAGGCACACTTTATTGCAATATGGCTGGAGTGCAAAGGCAACGCTTTAATAGGACACGTGATGTTGGAATTGACTAAATAGAAGTGCTGTTACCTTGTGTGTGATGAGACAGTAGAGAGTAAGTATGAACAGCAGTCCTCCGCAGATGGATGTGACTATGAAGCCGAGCTTATACAGGTCTCTGACTGGTCTTCTCTGAGAGACCTTTGCTGAGTTCCTATCATAACTATCTGTAGAAAAGGAGAGATAACCTGTGAGCTCAATGTTTTCTGGGCATATACTCGTTCACAATAAAAATGCTTTTTTCTGAGAATTTTTGAGATTCCCACCTGTAAAATATTGTGTGAATGGCTCTGTGGATAGCTCTACAGTAGAGCTAAAGGTTTCTGTGTATTCGTTTTGGCATCTCCAGTCGACTGGTGCGTCTCTCGTTGTCACCAGCTCCCAGTAAACGGACAACACCTCCGAAACCTTCTGTAGTGCATCTGAAGGAGACCCTCTGTAGAGCATCTCAAAACTTTCTGGCTTATCCTGCAGCAGATGTCAAAAAACATATTTTCAGACTTATCATGTTTCAGATTCTGCTTTGACGTTGTTTAAAATTCCATCCTTTAGTCACATACTCACCTCAACTTCTTCATTTATCTGAGGGACACATTTCTGAGAATAGATGTTGAGGATGAGCGCCCTCAAGGACTGAACATAGCCGTCATTGACTGAACCCCGGTTGTATTTGAAGTGGGTGGTAAGGAGCTCCAAGATCCAGGGTAAAGCAGCTTTTACAAAGCAACATTTGCTCTGTGGGAAATCCCAGTACAAGGCAATAAACATGAAACACACGATACAATTAATGGAATGTCTGACTCCAAGGTTTTTGAATGGTCCAATAAAACTAATGTTACCTTACCAAACTTCTTTGTTCTATGAATGTGTACGTTATTGAACAACCACTCCTCAACTGGTTATCCATCTGCAGAGACAACAACAACAGCAGGATTTCAGCCCAGGCTGTGCAGCGCAATTGATCGAATGGTAGTTTCAACACCTACCAGATGCCTGACTGTCAGCAGGTGCTCCCTAGTGATGGAGTGTCTGCATGGACCAGGGACCTCAGCCATAGTCAGAGGAAAGCTCAGGAACATAAGCACACACAGACACTTTACCTGCAACTGACACAACTGTACATTATCATCAAGCCAACCCAAAAGTGCACCAACACATTAGAGGTACTGCTACTTGACTCAAACATTTCTCAGTGCTTGAGCGTATCATTCGTGCTAAAACAGTAAAATATACTCAAAAACCAACACAGGCTGAATTATGTGTTAATGTGGTATCTTGATCTTAAAATTTCAAAAATAAGCGCACTCCCTTCCTGATTCAGGGATCTCTCCCAAATCGTGACAGTCTTTTCTTCAATAAAAGAGCTTTCCTATAAATTATTTTACAAGACAAAACAAGTTCAAAGCCAACCTAAATTTAATTTCCACATAATTGCGCAATAACACTTTAACAATAGGAATTTGATCAGCTCTCGCATTTCCATCCAAAATCTCCAATGAGAAAAACGGTTTAGTTTAAGTGAAAAGCTCTACTGCTTAAGTATGTTCTTGACATGGTATCGAGTCTCAGGTTTAATTTGGGATAATATGTGTGAGGATCAAGGTTTAACCAAATGTGACCTCAGAGGAACTTCTTGCGGTATGGTGCTCCATTTATGGCCAAACACTGCCCTCTACCATGCAAATCTGAGCAGGAACATGCACAACATGCACACACTCGTCCTGCAGCTGATGATGCCTGCTACCAAGCACCTTTTGGCAACCCTAACAGTTAAATGGGCTCCAGATGTACTTAATCTCCATAATCAGGACTAAAACATGGTGACAAGCATATGTTCTTCACACTGCAGGAGAATTGTCTGCACGTGAAGGAAAGCGAAGTCAATGCTGGTTTGCAATAAGCAGTGAAGACAGATGGAAGAGAAACACAGAAAAGGCACAAAATAACATGTTTTTTTTTTGTTTGTTCCCCATGTTGACTTCTGAGATGTATTAGGACACAAAAAACAATGACAAAAGACAAAAGACAAAAGAAGCATTTGTTGTCTGTTTCTTATGTAAAGCTGAGCTGTGCTATGTAACTTTGGTTTAGCTTTGTGACTAATATGACGTGAACTTCATGCAGTTTCAGACAACTTGATTCTGGAGCCCAGAGGAAACAGAAAGAGTCCCACGCTGTTCAAGTTTTAGGGTTTGAAGTATTCGGAAAACAATAAGCTGAGTAATTTGAAACAGAGAAATTCAAAGTATGGTTCTCAAACGAAGGCAACATGCCACAAGTGAGATGAAAGAACATCATGCCGGACTTTTATCTAGAATCCACTCCAAGGCTGATGATGATGCATAATCAAATTATTGTAATTTAATAAAACTATTGATGTGAACGGTATGTGGTAAAAGCAGTAGCACATGATGCAAATGTCACCTATCACATGATAAGTTTTCTCCATGCTGTCTATAATATCTATGTAGGTCAGAAAACTTCACAATCACAATCACAAACTTTATACAGACTAGCAGAAGCATGCTCGCTACCTTCTTGCACTGCACTGCTCAGTGTGCTAGTGGTGGAATTTGGGGGTTTTTTGTTTTGTTTTTTTAACCCACGCATAGAAAAGTTCTCACCTACCTCAGCTTTGCTCTGAATCAGGGTTGACACAAGGATGGTCATCTGGTACGTGTTTGACAATGGAAAACACCAGACTCCTCTGTCACACACATTGAAGCAAAAAGATCCTGTTCATATATCCACTTCCACTCCAGAGAAAGGAATTTGCTTTTAAGTCAATTTGACACTTCGTCATGTGGTGCTGTTCTTCAAAGCATTGCCCGATGTGCTCCTCCTCCGCAGAGTGAGTTCAAAATGAGACTAACTGTTTCAGCTCACAGACGCCCTTTTAAAGACCTCCCACCTCTCTGTGTTTCACAAGATGCACCATCCCAGCCTCTGTGTAATAACAAATTGCTTTGGTAGATTGCAAATTGACAGTTGCGGATTGCAGATCTTTGTTGGAGCTCGAAAGCAACTTCTAGCTGACAAATGAACTCTTTCACTAACAGCTGTGATTGATGAAGGTCTTGCACCTATGTGTTCCTCCGGAGACTAATGGCTGTGATTTAGTGAACCCAACTGAGCAGACCTGAGCATGTAAAATAACAGGTTCTCAACACTCAAGGGGAACATACACACCAACAGTTTTATGAGCAATTTTTGATAGGGAATTCATGTCATATCAGATCAACAGACTCAACTATAGAAATAGAAAACATCTGGCCTGGAAATTATTAACACAGGAAGACTTTCAACACATCGCACATTCCTTCACAATCTAATCCTGTGTCTAAGTCTCTTGTTGCTAAAGAAGTGTAAAATATCCAAGATTTGTTTTAAGACTTCAATGGTGGAATGCAATGAAGTGCATGATTGGACAGTTTTCAGGTATGCTTAACTTTTTGTGTGACAGAGGTAAACTTTAGTCATTTGTTAATCTAGTTAAATCAACCTTTTACATGCTGAACATATCAACATATCAAAGATGTTGCATTACTGTGGATTACATGACACCACTGAGCAAATTGTATTTGCTTTCTGCATTATGAAAAAAACAACAGAATTCAAAAGAGTGAATATTTTAGTTATTAAAAAAAATATATTTTATATATAAAACCTTCTTGTACTAATTCACTTTTACCAAATATACTGAACTCAACTGAATGCAATCTGTACTTCAGCCTTTGTCTGAAACAAACAACCGAAAAGGTGAAATAATAAAGTATTCCTGCTTCACTGAAGCCTTCAAAATTTTATTTTATCTTTTTTTTTAACTATAATTTTTTAATTGGAGTTAAAAAGGTGTTTAATCTAAACTGGTCTTATTCATATCCACACCTCACCACAGCTGTCTCCTTTATGTCAGCAGAGCTATAGTATCTGCTGTGAGAAATGTTGAGAAAAGGTTTTGCGGTGACGTGGTATTGTTATTGATGAATGTAAACTGTCAAAGGAATTTTTAATGTGGTTTTCTTTCTTCTGGAAAAGTGCAGTTGATAGTTTTTGCTGGCTCTCTGCAGCACAAGACACGTGGAATAAAACCACAGGAGGCTTGGTTTATTGATCAATGCCAATATCTGTCATCATTTACTACACTGTTTTCTTCTGGAATTTAAGAAAATCACTCTGGAACAATATTTCCTTGTAAACTCCCTGTGGAGAAATGAGAAAAGTTGCTGCTGTGTTAAATTACGAGTGTTGTAAGGTCAAGTCCTTGGTGACTCCACCACTTAATTTCAGCAGTAAAAGGAGAGTTTTGACTGGGAAATAGCTGTCAGTTAAATATGAAGCAGCGGTTGCTTAGCTGGAGAAACGGAAAGAAACCACCAGCCTGGCTCTGCGCGAAGGTGACAAAATCCCATCACATAATCAGCTATAAAACCTTGTTGTGTGTAAAATTTAAAAGATTTGTTGATTCTGGAGTGACCTTGTTGTGGTATCAGTGTCCTCATCTAATTCTTGACGAGCACTTGAACAGCCCTGAACGGTACAGATGTGAGCTTAGATTTGTAATTTGTACTGTGTGATGTTGCTTTTGAGACTTTGGATCCCAACAGATATAATCTCTACCTGCATTTTTTTCATTGTAAATTTAATGTAGGATCGTGAGCAAACAACAAAAAAGGTCATTCATTGTTGTAAATGTTAAAATATTTGGTGTGGTGACCAACTTCAGTGCAGCTGAAGTCAAAAGATATGATGGAATAGGAGAAGACTGAACTTTCCATTGATATCCATTATCGATACACCGCTTAATCCTCACTAGGGTCACGGGGGGCTGGAGCCTATCCCAGCTGACTTAGGGTGAAGGCAGGGGACACCCTGGACAGGTCACCAGTCTATCACAGGGCTACACTTAGAGACAGACAACCAAGCACACTCACATTCACACCTACAGACAATTTAGAATCACCAATTAACCTCAACATGTTTTTGGACTGTGTGGGAGGAAGCCTGAGAGAACCCACGCTGCACGGGAAGAACCAACTCCATGCAGAAACTGGTGAACTTCTTGCTGCGAGGCAACAGTGCTAATCACCACCTTGCAGTCCAAGACTGAACTTATTCATCCCGAAGGAAACTCTTGTGCCAGACGTTGCTCAAAAACAAGTCCGAGACCACATGAGTCCCTACAGTCTACTGATTAACAGGCAGTCTGAGACAAGCCAATGGGAGAATAACTGATGCATCTCATTTTCTGAACTCTGAGTACCAGCGAAAATCACTGGAATGAAAAATATTTAAATGGCAGCAGATGGAATTCCTATGTGGACCAATAGAGCTGTGTTATTGCTGATTTACTGGTGATTGATTATTTTTTAAAGTCCTTTTTTTTTAGTACATTACAATGTACATTTAGTACAGTACATTTTTATTTACTATATGTTTCTATTTCTTATGTTTTTCTATTTCTTATTTAGTCTTTTGTATGTTTTTCTTAGTTTTTTTGTTATTGTTTTTTAAAAAAAAAACTTGAATCTTAAATATTAAGATAAGTATTAAAAAACAAATATATTTTGTGGACTACAACCTCTAGAAATGGCGCTTTGTTGAGCAACAGTAGACTGCATACATTTCAGCTTCAAGATCTGAGCTCTAAAGCTTAGATATATTTGCCAGGAATAAAACAGTGCAGATTGTGTCAAAGAAAAATGTTTTTGTTATTGACTGGTTGTTGGATCAGGTTTCCAGTCTGAATAGTTGTGTGGACTCATACTGCCAGACATGTTTTTGAAACGGTCTGACTGTCAATCAAATGCCAGTATGGAGGTATCCACCCTCACCTCATTGTACGCAGAGAACAGATAAAATCAAAAGCAGACAATTCATGGATGTGAAAGCAAGGAAGCATGACACCGCACTGTCACTTCAGTGCAGCATGAGAGGACTTCCCCGACCAATCCAGGACAAATGAGACAAAAAGATCTGACAAGGCCACCTGATAAATAAGTGTACTTTTATTGTTTTATTATCTGTATGTCCTCTGTCTGCTAAGTAAGCAGAGACAGAGACAGAAACAGTTTTTGTCGAGTCAGTCCTGAAATCGCCTTAAACATGCATGTTTGCTCCTGAGAGTTTTGCAGTTCAGGCCAATTTTATAAAGAGCTTTACTCCGCTAAGAAAAATGCTACTGTAACTCAACCAAAATGACTTTTCCATGTTTGACATCTGAAATATACATCCTGAAAAAGAATGATCTCCTTTTGGAAAAGTAGCCGTACCATCGTGTCAGGCAGCATTAGTGTGACTGTTGCATACATCAAGCCACACACTTGGAAGAAACAATATGTTATAACAGACTGTGCAGCACATATGGACAAACTGGTATTTGTTATGTGGGGGGTCCAGGGTTCCCAAAGTCAAACTGATATATCTTGAAAAACTGTGTATAAGAATACCGAGGTGGCTAAGCCTCTGCTCTGAACGCTACAACACTAATCAAAGTAAGCTTTTGGCAGCACACACAACTACAGCTGATGACAATAAGTCTTTCTATGGCTTCGCTCTATTGTGTATTTCTGTCAAATATCAGAATGGCAGGGCCCCCCTATAGCTCACCTGGTATAGCGGGCGGCCCATGAACAGGGGCTGTAGTTCCCCGATGCAGCAGTCGTGAGTTCGAGTCCCGCTCACGACCCTTTGCTGCAGGTCTGTCCCCATTCTTCTCCCCCCTTTCCTGTCTCCCTCTACTGCACTAAATAAAGGCAAAAGCCAAAAAAATATATTAGAAAAACAAAAAAATATCCGAATGGCGTTGTTATTGCGAAATGTGAGAATAACAATAATAGCAGAATGTAAATGGAACAATCTTTTTAATAGTTACACTAGAAATCATTTACACCTCACAGTATTATAATAAACACAGGCTGGCAACACGCTGTCAAAGTCCCATAAAATGTTTCTTACTGTTTCCTCTCAGTCTTCCATCCATCCATCGATCCATCATCTATACACTGCTTAATCCTCACTATAGGGTCACGGGGGGCTGGCGTCTATCCCAGCTGACTTAGGGTGAAGGCAGGGGACACCCTGGACAGGTCATCAGTCTATCACAGGGCCATACTTAGAGACAGACAACCAAGCACACTCACATTCACACCCACAGACAATTTAGAATCACCAATTAGCCTCAACATGTTTTGGACTGTGTGGGAGGAAGCCATCTTACGGTAAAAGTATCACTCAGAGCAGTCAGTTCAGCTGAACTGATATAATAAGACCCATGTGTCAGTGCATCTTTGTCTACAAGCTGAATGATTTGCAGACCATCTGGTAGCTTCCCGCCTCCTGATGGATTTTGTGGCAGCCCAAGTGGATGTCAAACCTTTTTAATGTCAGTAGAAGCAGAGACGTTTTCAGTCGTGAGCACAGCAGTGTAACAACCACATTTACTTCCACAGAAACACCTACAGAAACCTCCTGCTGTGTGCACTGCTCACAGCCATGGTTTCCACTGCATGTTTACGTTTCCTGTGCGTTGTTTAGCTCATGTTCTCCTCAAAATCCCAAGAATTCTGCTCTCTGGGACCATGTGTTTTTGCCAACACACTGACTTCGTGAAACAGTGATTTGTCTTCCCTTGTGGGCATTCTTGTTTGCATACTTTTTCCATAGCACTTCATAGAACATCCTGGGATCTATTACATTCTGCCTGCAGTCACTGTGTAATGCCATTAAAAGCACCTTGCTGTGCAGCCTCACATGAATTTTTCGTAGAATGCATCGCTGTCTATGTTCCTGCTCGTGGCATTGAAAACATTTTGCAGTGTTTTTTTTGTTGTTTGTTTTGATTAGATAAACTGTCTCCAGCCTGCAGAGCTTCCTTATGTGCATCTGTCACCACCTTAAAGTGTTCAAACAAAAGCCATTCAACTCCTCTTTGCTTTTAGCCCCTAATACATACATCTTTCACTTGAATTTGAGTTCACATCTTTTCTTACAGCTGTGAGATGTTTATAGAGAGCAGCGAGCATTAGCCAAACAGTGTTTACTGTTCTCATAAGAGAACTCAACTCAACTCATAAGACTCAACAAAATGTTCTCAAACATACATCTAATTCAGAGACTACTGCAAGTTCTTTCGTGACTGATTGTATACATCCTATAACTTGTCAAGACAAGCTGTGAAGTGTTTAGTCTGCTTGACTGCATCTGATCTAAACAACTCTCATCCTTTTGGCAATGTACTTTTCAGGATTTGCTTCCTTATTTTTGCAGCATGGAAGTTCTGGTTTGTCGACTGTTAGTCTTTGTGGAGTTTGCATGTTTACCCTGTGTGGGTTTTTTTTTCCCCCAGTGTGCTTGCTTCCTCCCACCGACATGCATGATGAGATAATTGGTGATGCTATCTGGTCGTAGGTATCATCCGTCTTTCTGCGGGAGCCCTACGATGAGCCCCCAGCGACCCACTAAAGGATAAAACATTATAGCTAAGGGATGAATGCATCGTATAATCTCCATGTGAGATGAATCCCTCCAGACATGCTGTAACAACAGCATCACTATGTTTTAATAGACAGTGCAACAGTTCACCAGTGATTGCATCTGCAGCTGTATTCTCTTGCTTGAGATTTAAAAGGAAGCTCTGGCGTTCTGAGATGCACCATGAGAAAAGACTTGATCCACAGTAATAGTGATGCTTGACAATAGTGCTTGCCTGATCTATTTATATAAAATGTTGTATAATGTCTGTACATGCGACATTTTGGTCCAAAAAATGGCCAACATTCGCACCATTTAGTCCTTAATGACATGAATAAGGCTGGTTGTATTTCGGAAAGCAGCATGCTGTTCTGAAGATACTGCAGGTTAAAGCCAAAAGTTCTGCTCTTTTTTTTCAAGGAACCTTGATTCTAGAACTTTCTCATCTTGTTTTTGTTATTGTCTCGTGTGTCGCCCGCTAATTTATGATGATGTGACATGCGATGTTCATTTACTTCCTTCCTCAGAGTTTTTGTTTGTTTCTCATTGTTGTTGCCATTTGCACTTTGGCTGCCATTCATTACTCCGAGTGGCCGTACTTCCCTCTGTGACTTGCATCCCAGTAAGGATGTAAGGAGAAGCAAAATATTCCAGCTGACTTTTGCGTCGGCAGTCAGGCATCTTCTTATGTGCTACTCCTCTCCTGCTGCTCTGCTCCTCTCTGATCGCTTGTCCTGTCCTGCTCAACTATAAAAGCAATACAACTATCAAGTAAACAACGGATAAGATGACACAGAAGCCAAAAGTCTGACTACTGATTGAAAAAGTACCAAGGGACAGTAAATCTGAACTAGCGTGGCCACTGAGTTCGGTATTACTGAAAAATACAAACGGATTTAGCACATGTGTCTAGTTTAATAAGGTCAGTAGTGACGGCTGATGTACCATCGGAAGAAACCTCCTCTTCTTTGCTTCACTCATTTCTAGACGTAACCGCAACCTCTTAAACTTTAAAGTTTAGTAAATTTATGCAACATACACAGATTATCTTGGAGTGTAAAAAGGCTTGATAAACTAAACTTAAAGCCTTGTTCCTATAACAGACAAAAGAATACACTGAAACAGTATATTTTTCCCTGAATAATGTTCTAGTTACAAAGTGGTCAAACTGTCCTGTGTTATCTGATCATTGTGTGATCTAAGCAGCAGCACTGAGAGATTTCATTGCGTGCTCAGCTTGGAGGAAACCTGCCACAAATTATCTTGTGTTGAAGTCGTGATATAATTTTGTGAAATTAAAACATTTTTTAAGAAGATTATCAGAGAAGTTTCCATTCTGTTATCAAACCCATCAGCGTCTGACCTATTTTTCTCACTACCTTCCCATCTGCCACCAATTACTCTGCCATCCATTTATCCGAAAATCCATTTAACATACTGTCATTATTAGCATCAGGCTCAAACTAAATCACAGCTTCAGTAAACAATTTTATTCTTGTTAGTCAGAACAGGGCAGAGTTGCATCTCACTGTTGCAGTGTTATAATAACAAGTGAAGCCACAAGCACAGAAACAGTACATTTCCTGGCAAACGCTTATAAATAAAAACAGAACATATTCAGTGCAACTAATATGAAATATTATATATTAGGAAAAAAGCAGAAATGCCAGAAATGTGTGGACAACATTTCTTAATATGCATTCCTTGTCACCATTTCTTTATAGAAATTACTTGATCATGAGTTATCGCAAAAAGCAGCAGAGGGGAGAATTGGAAAAAGAAGTAGCAAAACATTGGGCAATAGCAGCAAAAAATAGTGAAGGAGAACAGAGCAACATGGCTGATGTTCAACTTTCTGTCAGACTGCTGTAGCAAATCCTATCCGATTACTGTGACGGTCAAACTCTGTGTAGTAGCGGGCAATGAAGTTGGCCCCTAGAATCCAGATGGGACCTGTAGGGGGCGGCACATCCAAGCCTCTGAAGGTGACGGTGCAGACATCCCCTTCCATCTGTGATTGCTGGAATCACAAGGAACCATTTTGAGAAGTTAACAAGGTATAAAACAATTTAAAAAAAAAACAAAAAAAACGTAAAACTCAGAACCCCATGACCTTAAAAAATCTGTTACAAGTAAAAGTCCTCCATTAAGATTGCACTTCAGTAAGAGTACAGAGGTATTATCAGTAAAAGGTGCCAAGGTAAGACGTGACATTATTGTCCAAGCATGTCCCCGTGTGTTCAATTATGGAGCCTCCAAGGTACAAAATGTTCCCATTTTTCAAAGAAATCTGCTGCTGTTAATATCTTGCAAATAAGAAAAGAACTCACACATTTTCAGGTCTTTATGGACTGCAAACTCAGCATTTACTGCTTTGCACAGCTCCAACCTGAGCAGGTTTTATGGTGTGCAGGTGTGCAAGCCTTTTGTGTCATATTAATAATATAGGTCGATCATGTTTGGTTGTGGATTCACAGTAGCTGCAGTAAATGTAGTCCTAAGCATGATATTTCCATGTGAAATGGAAATAGACGTACTCAAGTAAAATACGAGCGCCTCAAAACTGTACTTTCGTGCGGTACTTGAGTCATCCTCTTACCCATAAGATATAATCCTCCTGTGTGAGTGAGTACTCGTGGCCACCCAGGTGAAACGTGACACTGGGCAACGTCTTCACAGTGTCACAGTTGACTTTGTACTGAGGAGCAACACAAAGTCATGGGTTAAGATCTTAATTAGATTGAATTTTTTAACAGTCAGATGTTTTTTTTTGTGTGTGTAGGTGTGTGTAGGTGTGTGTGTGTGTGTGTAGGTGTGTGTAGGTGTGTGTGTGTGGGAAACCATGATGCAAAAGCTTACTCCACTTTCATCCAGCTGTGCTCCGATGGTTTTCATCAGCAGCGATACAGAAGAGGCCGGCCCAGTGATGTAGGAGGAGCCTGTGTCGATCACAGTCGTACAGCCCTCTGCACAAAACATCATCGTCGTCCCCACAGAGACACTGAAAGAAAGAAAAACGAGGACGAAAACAAAACACATGTAGTTTCAGAATGAGTGTGTGCACATACTGTGGACGAAATGGAAGTAAAAGATTTACCCTTTCATGGTAACTTCCCACTTTCCCATCTCTCTGGTGTCCACATAATTGAAGTTTCCAGTGTAGTAGTTTGGGTCTGTCCCACCGAGGACCAGCTCTCCACCTGGGGAGTGTTTTGGGTCCCTGAAAAACAAGAAATAAATCACCTTTCAAGCCCACTTTTGTTGTTTGTATTCTTAGCGTTACTGTTGGAACTGTGATCTTGGTGGTCTGGCCCTTTAGCTTAAGTCTAATTGTATGTTCATGTGGCGATTAAAACACGAAAAATAGACATCAGAACATTTTTTTTTTTTTAAAGAAAAAAAAAGTGTATTGTAGACAGAAGAAGCATGAGAAAATTGTAAAACATATTTGGCTACTTTAACACATATGCTTGTCTCATCCAGATCCATTTTCAGCTCTTTACTTCTTCTCTGAGGCCTGTCTGGGACATAAACCATGAAGACTGATCCTCTCCCACAACCTGCCCTAAAGTTCAGCTCATATGATGTTCTTTGTGTTTAGTTTTTCCTAACTGATTGCATTTGTATGCTTTCAGGTCTAATAATAAGCTGAAACAAACACTGAGCCTAAATTTAAAAGATATTTCAACAAGACAATAGAGTTTTTTTCCCCCCATCTACAGGCTGGACAGTGACCACATTCTTTATGTCCTCCTATGAATCTAAATTGTGTTTTTTCTTCAAGGGAGGTGATTTCATACAAAATGACACAGAAACTCCGTCACTTCAACCCACCTGCTGTAGTAGACAGAGAACACCTCTTCCTTCAGGACATGCTGAGACATGATGCGGTCAAATACTGGAGTGATGCCGTCGACAGCCACGTTGGGGTAACCCATCCCCAGGACGCCATCAAACTTTGCGAAGATGAAGGGCATGGCGGAGAGAGATGTGGCCTCGGCAAACACTTGAACCACTGGAATACCACCAACCTGATGCAATTAAAACAAGCACAAAGTTCAAGCGTAACACCACAGAGGAAGCTTTCAACTCCTTTAATTTCACTGGTTGCTGGCTTTAAACTCACCACCACTACGTCCTCGCTCAGGAATCCCCTAACATTTCCAGATGCATACTGAATGGAAAATCCGGTTCCATTCTCAATGTAAGTCCGGGATTTAGAGGCGTCATACCTATTGTGAGTAACTAAGAGTTCAAAATGCATTTGAGTCACAAAACAATCTGGAAAGTTTTATTGAACAACATCTAATCCATCTGAGAACACGATTTAACAAATCTTTAATTGCTGTTTTTTTTTTTAACTCACTTATTAAGACCAGTTGGAAATTACAATGAATTTGTTAAGCAAAGTCTAATATCCAAACTGTATTGTTTTTATATTCGACCTAGTAAAAAAAAGCAGAAGATGTTTTTGGCAACTAGTTTTAAATCCAATATTGGCACATGGACTTGGCAGACTTGTGTTTCCACACAGCTGTAGCTTTGTTTTTAATAAATGCTCTTGAACTGCTAAAGAAAGCTGTTGAGCCTTAAGACACATTGTCGTTTTAAGAATATGTCCTGCTGTTGCATTGAGCAAACATTATTTTCCAATTTGTATACATGCACACTTACAACAGGCAGTAGAGAAAGGTGAGCAGCTTTGCGAGGGCACCCAAAGGTTGGCTGAGCCTGTGTCAAACACCACGTTGAACATCTGGGCCGGAGATCCGATACTGATTTCCCCAAAATACTGAGTCTATTGGGAACAAACATATGAGTGTTTTATGTTGTTAGAGTATCTCTTCCAAAAAATACTAATAATAATAATAATTTCTCCATGTGCATTAATCAACAATCATAACAAGACATTTACAACAAACACTTCAAAGTTCTAATTCAAAGGCAACTGGATCTGGTTTTTTTTTTACCCTCGAGGATGTCTCCACAGCTGTCCAAGAGAACAGCTAAGGCCTCTTGGATGAGTGGCTCCCTTTACCCTTCAGTCTGTTTTTGTCTTTAGAACTTTAACAGCAAATCCAGATCCCATAAAATGTAACCGTCCTATTGCTTTCAAATTTACTGACATCTTTTATCATCGGGTTCAATTTGACTCCAGTAATGTAAACCGCCAGAACATATCATAATTACAATTGTTACCCAAGTTTATGTGTAAATAGCCCTTTATGACTTATCTAGAGATGTTAAACACTGAATGGGGTCAAATTGACCCCAAAGATAACAGGAGGGTTAATGTATAATGTGCGCTTTGTTAGTAGTGTAGTATTGCCATTGCAGTCTACTATATTTCATGTTACCGCTCCTGTCAAGGGACTGTGGTTAAATCATTTGTCAACTGGCTAAAGTGGCAGGAATGTCTGTTAATATGCACTGTCCGTGTCATCTTAAAATTGATGCATAGATGACTAAATACATCTACATGTGTGTAACTATAGGTCTATACGGTGCAGAATGAATAGACTCAGGAACAGCTTCTTCCCCAAAGCTGTCACCATACTCAACTTAAACCTGCACCAAAACTGTGAATACAACGTGCACTGTGACACTCGCACACTAAGAACCACCTCACTCTGTGCAACACCCAACTACCACTCTGCTATGGCAATTGTTTTTAACTCATGTTATATAGGGTTGTACAAAGCCTTATAACATATGTCTTGAATGTTGTATGGTATATATTGCTGGTGCAGCCCTTTAAATGCCATTGTACATGCATAATGACAATAAAGTTTTCTATTCTATTCTATTCTATTCTATTCTATTCTATTATTACACAAAAGAGTGTCTCACATCCAGGTAGTTGGTTAGCGGCGTAGGAACCGTCCCGTTGTTGGGGTCGTCCGTGCTGCTCTGGGCCAGCTCACTCAACACCTGCTCTGCAGAAACACCCATCTCCTGCAGTGTCTCTCTAATGGATGGCATCTTCTTGAGTGCGATCCTGGAAGCAGAACAGACAAGAGGGGAAACTTTAAAAATGAAAGCGGAAAAATGGATTTGATGACTGCGGATGAAATAAACAAGTCTATGGAATATATTGTCTTATATCTGGTTCATATTCTTGATCGTCGTCCCAGCAAAACAATACGACTCTAATAAAAGGACAGACGGTTTTGCTTTCAGCGCCTGGCCAGAAAAAAATGAATGAAAAACACATGTTAATGCAATGCTGAAATCATTAGCTTTCATAATGATACAATAAAAACACATTTACTTCTTGGTTCTCATTTGTTTTGTTGTTTACCAATTTCTCTTATGCTAATGCAATTATCAAGTCAATTCTTATTCTTATATACTGTTAGTTCTTTAAGCAAAGCAGGTAGGTATACAAGGAAACACACTTTTTTTTTTTTTTTACCTTCTCAAAGCATGGCTCCTAGTTGCTGTCAGTGACAGAGCAAGCAGACAAATCCAGTAACTCAGCAGTAGTGCCATGGTGGCTTATTTGTTAACAAGCAGAAAATGCAGGCCAGTCCTGTCAATGTGCCAAATTGCTTTTTTCCTGGTTAAATCCGAGTTCTTGAAACGCTGCCTCTCCTTCTCTGTGGTGTCTTGCCGCTCCACTCTTTTTATACCATGTCCCCTCCACCGTGCTCTCACACATGGGAGCTTTCCTGGAGGTGACCACTTAAAAACAAGCCCTGCTTACCTCCCACCCTCCGCCCCACCACTCTGTCTCAGTCTCACAACCCTGCGGTGATAAACAGGTCCCAGTGAGAGATCTGAACTTTGACCTCTGAAAAAACACACCCGAAAGACACAAAGCAGGGGTGCAGAGCGGCGGAGATTGCTGGATGATGAGCGGCTTTAGAAGAATTCTTGTAGGTGGTAGTTAGGCGCTGTTTGCTAAACTCAAATACAAGTGATGATAAATCTCAGGCTGTGCAGTGGGCTGTTATTAATTTCACTCTATGATGTCAACTTTTGATTAGATGTGTAATTTAGGTGTTCCGGTTTTTGTTTTGTTTAGTTTTTTTGGTAAGACCAGAACACCATGTAATTATTTTATACAAAAGCTCCACAGGTGTTCAATAAAAATGCTCAAATTTAAGTACAACAGAAATTTAACGACTGATTGCAGTTTTGGACTGTAGTTTTTATCTGTGAATCAGATTGGTTTTACACCTCGACCGTCTCAGAAGTTCACTGCAGCGTGTGCAACTCATCAGTTCGGAGTTTTACATAAACAGGCAAAAGAGGGAAGAACATAATACATCTGTGAGTTCAGCTCAAGGTCTAAGATAGAGATCGCTGGCAGCAGCAGACAGAGCCCATGCTGATTGTTCTAAGCTGTAGAGGGGACTGTCAGTGCGCAGAGTTTTCATGCAGCGCCTTTTTCGCCGCTCGCTCAGACTCGACAGGGCCGACACCTAATCATTCAGTGAAAGTTCTCACTGGGTTTACCCACAGGGAGGATTCCCACAGTATCTGGCCTGTCAGGACGGGCTGGTGTGTTGGTACTGTACCGACCACCCAGTCAAGCCGGGAGATATGTGGGGGTCCAAGCTCAGGCAGTCATAGCAGAGGTCAGAGGTCATCCACTAAGATATTCCCTGTGGGCAGAGCTTCTAGAAAATGATAGCGTGGTTACACACAGCTCACAGAGGCAGTGATGACGTACAGCAAATCTATACTGCAGCAAGACTGACAATCGGTTTGTTTATGTTCTACAAATCCTCAATCCATAGATGGCTGTAAGCAAAAATTGTATAATAAAAATATCTATAAGTGTGATAAACGAGAGCATTATCGCCTAAATCTACAGTCTCCCTTGACTTTACTGAGCTCTACAGTGAATTTCAGCTCATTGTTTCCAAACTCCACTGCATTGCTCTCATCCACAGCATGCCATTCTTTTCAATAAAATTAAAAAAAAAAAAAAAACTGTTTTACATCACCTTCCCAGAACCAAACAGTAGGGAAATGCAGTTAAATGCAACTTGCAGAAACAGAGGTGCATTTATAGAGACCAAAAACAGAGCCAAAGCAGAGTGGATATAAACAGGGTTAAAGAACAGTGAATATTGCACTTTTAAGCACCACTGAGTCAGAAACAAGTCTGCCATATCAAAATCTGACATGTCAACATTGTGTCTGAAACTAGGTGTTGGCTCACAGCAGTGATAATTATGACTTGGTGCAGTGCAACAACTTTAAATGCATTATTATTATTATCTCATGTAGTTGACAAAAATCTGAGCAAGCTATTAAATAATGCGTTTGATTCAGAGCTTTATTGCTTAGAAATAAAACAAGCCGCCTGTTGTTGCTGGAAAGGAGATAGAAGCAGTAAAACGTTTTGTTTTTTAATGTAAAGCTCTGTAAACTAGCTGCCCTTTTACGAACATTCCATTTTACTCTTTGAATGTTTGGAAACTTAAAAACATTAGTTTAAACAGCTTTGAGACACATGTTTGACTGAAAAAGCGGCTACCTGTATTATCTGTCATGCAATTAGGCCTTACAAGCAGGTTTTCATAGAATATTTCGGGGACAATCTCACAGACATCTGACTCTTGACCTTCCTGGTTAAATGGATATCAGCAACTTTCTTTCCCACACTGCCAAGAGAGAGCCATGCGTCACTCCTGCGTGGCCTCCCACCTCTGCAGTGAGTCCACTCCACTGGTGGGCATGGGAAATGTAGCACTGTCTCCTGGAAGATGATTTATTTAAGTTTGTCGTGCCATTAATGTTCCCTTGTAGGCCTGTATATGAAGTAAGCTTTGGCTGTTTCAAAACTCCTCAGAAGTCTTTCTGTAATCATCTAATTATGAAACAGAGAGAAACATCGAGAGAAAGTCGAGGAAGGTGCAACAGACAAAACCTCGAATGACTTTCTGCTGACGAAAACACATCAGAGGACCGATTCATGTTGTAAGGGGACCTTGTAGGGTTGAGCTATCTCTCCTGATAAGAAATATATGAAGCAGAGCAGCAGTTGTTAGCAGAAAATGGGGCTTAAGGGAAGTTATTACTCAGACAAACAAGCAAAAGAAATAAAGCCACTTTTCAGAATGATATATATACATATATATATATTTTTCCTTTTTATGAATGTGTGTTTTAATTCTGACCAAAAGTCAGCACTAGATTCTGTCCAGCTGCTGAGAGTATAGATGGTAATGTGTTTCTGGTTTGTTTCTAAGCAGCTGCATCACACAATTAGGTACACAAAAACAGCAAACAACATTTCGGTTTAGCATGTTTTAAGCTCAGCTATGTCTTGAATTTAAAACCAGTGAACTCCAAATTGAGAATGACAGCAGTTCCATCTGGAGACAATATGTGTTTTATGATCGAAGGTAGAAAATGTATGAACTAATTCTATTAAAACAATATGATATCCAAAACCAAGGGTACTTTTAGTGTTAGAGGCTTTGTAGGCAAATGTATTATTATGAATTATAGTTGAATAACTTACAAATTTACACATGGTTGCATCTCTTTGGGGTACATGTGCTGCACTGCTCCTGACCAGAAGAGGGCAGCATTGAATTTACAAACTCAGGAGGACAGAACAAACTGCTTTTCACCTCAGGGAGTCAGTCTGTTCCCTGATTACGTGCAACTCTGAAGGAAAACATTACTTATTAATATCTGTGTGAGTGCGTGTCTGGATTATTCACTTGTATCTTCAACTTTACAACCGAAAGAGAGAGGATTTTTGAGTTTTCATTTGACTTATTTATGGATCTTACTTGCAAGATGTGAAAAGAGAGACATGAATCATGTAACATAAAAGACAAAATAGCTAAACCAAAACTACATAAGTTTAAACTACATTCAAAAATCAATATATTGTGTTCTTTATTAGCAATCTCTCACCCTTATCTGTAAATAAGCTCTGACCTGGTGTCTAAAAGTCTTTGTTTTTGTTTTTAGACACTTGTTTTAGGAGACGGCGGTTCCCCAGTACAGCACCCTACTAAACAATTAATCAGTTTAGTTTTAAAACTGCAGTAAAATGAACAGTGCTGGAAGTAATACTACATTCTTTTGTAACACAGAGGATAAAAAAAGTAGATTTGTTTAATGCCGTTCTCTGTGTGCAAGATCTGTGGCTGTCACACTGAGCCTCTCTGAAAAAGCTAAGTAGTGTCAAATACACTTAATTAGAACAAATCAAAGGTACTGAGACCTCAGGGATAACATCAGCAGCTTTATCACATCTCGTAAGGAAAACCATCATATCCAGAAAAAAGCAACACATTCTGAATAAAAATAAATGTAAAATTTAACAGATAAAATAGGAAAGATACACCAAACATGAGATGACAAATAATTCTTTATTAACTGAAAATACACTCTGCAGTACAGAAATATTGACTCACAAAATATTCATGGAGACAAGTTAAATCGAACTCCTTTTTAAGAGCCGATGCTCTCACAGAACTGAATCTGTACATGCAAAAAAATAACATAAAATACATGAAAAAAACTATGATTTCTGATCACACGCGATAAAGTTCACTGGTGAATATGTGCAATAAATAAACCCACTTCTGCTGACTCCAATCAAGTTACATTACATAACATGGTGAGCATGTATGTGAACTGTGTTGCTTATCTAGTGAAAATGACTGGTTGGTGTCCTGTGAAGATGCACTGTGATTCCCAGGGAGCTCTATTAGGAAACAGTGCTCCATACGCACAGAAAACATCTGGTGAACATATCAGAAACCATAGCAACTGCGCTTGTTTTCCTGCTCAGTGTTTGCGACACAACAAAGTGTGCCAATCCATCACCTGGACCGATGAATATTTAATAACGGCAGGTCTGCAGTCACACAGTAATGTATGTGTGGATCGCCTTATTACTATTAAGTGGCGCTGATTGGTACTTGTTTGCCTCATACATCTTGCTGACAAGCTACTTCATTTCCTATTCATTTATACAGTTGGCTACTGCAGTGAGCACTTCTGCATCTTCTCCTGTAGCAAAAAAAACATAACTGTATACAACTGTAACAAGATGATATGTCTGAAATGGATGTCTTGCTTTAATTGAGAAATAAAACTCTTAATTCATTTGCATGCGTGCGTTCTGGCCTGTAAGTGAGCATGTGTGCGTGCCGCTCTTTGTGGCTTTGTGCAGAGCTCCAGAAGATGAAGATACAAACTGCAGCCAGCTGATATAAAAAGACACCCAGCAGTGGCAGCAGTGGAGCCAAAATGATTCAATAAATGAGAGAGCAAAGCTGCAGTACAAAGCTTTGTGAAGCCAACTGTTTTGTACTTCAAAGTCTGGCTCAAATCAAAAACAAGGCTATTCAGCCTGCTGGCAGTCAGAACACAGTCCGTGGCTTATAGAAAGATCCAGTAATTTAAAAATTGTTGCTTTGTTTAAATGAAGGCATCCTGTCAAATATGAATGTTTGCTGCCAATGGCATTAAAAATCTCACCAGTGGCCCTAAATGTGTCTTTTATTTTT